CCGCGCCGGTGCCCGCCTAGCAGCCGGGTGAGGGCGGGGAAGCGACGCCACTTCACACCTCGCACCTGCCCTTACACACTAGGTATAGTACAATTCTATTCAAATAAGAAATTATATACAAATCACTGCATATAAATTTATTTTGATGTTTAAATTGATGATACAAACACAAACTTGTCTGAGATCACAGCGTCATAAAGCTAAAATTGTTTAGATACGTTTAATACATTTTGGTCAATTGAATTCAACTATATATATAGAATTTCTTATTAATACCTTAACTTATTGATCTAATAGAACACATTAGCTGCTTTAACTAACCTTGTCAATGTTGGTGAGTTCTGCATAAACATCATCTCGTAATGCAGAAAATGTTGTAATTGATCTATGAGCTGCGGGTTTCGCTTCGGATACCAGAGCTTTTAATGAGAGATTAGCAGCAGCTGTCTCCGAAGCCGTAACTAGACCATCTGTTGGTCTAACGTAAAAGTTATTTAATTAAAAATTACACAATCAAAACAAAATTATAAACAAAGTGTTACCTCACAAAACGACATCTTTCTTCACCAAGTTTCTCGGCTACCGCTCGCATGTTGTCCCAGTCACCCCATAGACATAGCTTTTGGTATCCCTCAAGCGTTGGTAGAACAACAGGTGGTAAATTGCAATTATTCAGCCATACAAGGGAACCTAAAAGTTCAATTACAGTCAAATATCCATAAAATATAACAGGTAAGTAAACAATGCTAAAAAGCATCTATAATTTGTTTAAATCTTGCTTCTGCTTTGCATTTATTGGAAAGGATCCCCTCCTTGACCCAAATAATGAGAAGTTAGGAGATTAATGTACCTTTCCTACATATTTCCTTCCCTGGCAAAATAAATACCACTTCCCATCACTTTTTAGAAAAAGGATGGTTTTGAAAGCGGTATTACACTTGAAAAGAATTACAAGGTATAGCTTTCGCCTGCGACTTTGTCCGCGTGGGATTTAAAAATAGGTAGCCTGTGTGTTCTTCTAGAGTGTCCTCTACATCTATTCCAAATTTCATCGAGATCCATTCAGCAGTTTAGGCTACAAACTCTAACAAAGATCTATCTCTGTCATCATTTAAACTTTCGCATTTATAATATTAAGTAAGATGTACATACTTTGAAAGGCAAACAAATACCAACCTGGTATTTTATGAGCAGCTAAATGTAATACATCATGTACACTAGGAACTAAGACAGCTTGTGCATTATGGCCCACTCTGTGTGCTTTACACCAGAATAGGCCAGCGGTGTGGTGTCCGTGACTTTCAGCTTCCTCCTCTCTGCCTGCCTCAATTTTACGGTACCCTATAACTTTGTCACTTGCATTCTTTAAAAGGAAATACAATATGTTGTGTTCCATAGAAATTCTAACATCTGATAACACTTTGCAGGCTTCAGGATGGTACTGAAAATAACATTTTGTTTTATTAAATAATTAGGAATCATGATATAAAAATATAATATACTTCCTAGTATAAGAGGACAAGAGAGGGAGGGTAAAATAGATGTATATCCTAAGTTCCTAGATTCTTAGTCTAGCCTATATACTCACAGGAAATTCAAATAGCCTAAATATTTCTAAAGCTTCCTTTTCATTAGTGTTGGATAATGAGGTAGTATTATCTAGTATATCTTGCCAGTCTTTTTCAAATTGTAGATTATCTTGCTGCATTTTTTGTATGTAATCTTTAATTGATGCCTCCATTTTCACTTTCTTTATAATTCTTTCTAAGATATTCCAGTCTCCATGTATGTTGCACTTTGGACACGAAAAGTATCCTAAAAAATAGCAATGATTGAATTTCGAAGAAATATGCATGACGATAAATGTTCGTTATATGTTTAAAACATTTTTACGACAAATTCACGTAGCAATTTTGGTTTTTAGGTTATGTTTACATTCACAACGTACCGGTTGTTTTATTGATGTACAATTTACTGTCGCTGCTTTTTTCATTTCCCGAACATACTGTACACTTAGTAATAAATGATGTGTACCCATCTTGTACAGCGAGGCCTTTTTGCCGTATTATTTTTTTTATATCAGTTCCAGTTACTTTAGGAATATCATTTAAGCCTACACTATGTATTGTTTGTCTAATAATTTTGTAATCACACGGCCTTAAAAACAATTTCAAACCACGGTATTGTAACGTGTTGACAGAATGTAACATTTTTCCTTAATATTTAAACAATACAAAAAGAGACAAAACATAACAATAACAAAAACATAACCTAAAAATTATTCCTCAAGGTGACAGTGACATGTTGAAACATGTTTTTAAAAGCCAAAGGATAGATAAGAAACTAGAATAGATAGTATATGTTTTTTTTTTAATATAAAAGTTGGATTTCTGTAGTGTGTCTAAATAATTTAGATTACTTTGACAATTAATTTCAAACTTCGTAGGGATGGGTTGTGTAAAATCAGTCATGAATCTTATCAATTTTCGACATTTTATTCTTATAGAAGTTGGAATTGATAGATTTATTGTTATAACTAATGATATAAAAAACACTGTTTTCTCAAATGAATAATGACAATTAAGTAAATCAAAAACATGCAAAAAAAAAAACATTTTAGATAAAAATATCGTATTAATATTGGTATTGCTGATGTTTTATGTAAATACCCATAATATAAAATAAAACCAAGCGATATCTAAAAGTTCATGTATTAAAAGAAAGTATTTACAAATAAAATTAACAAGAAATAATACATACGAGATTGTACTACATTTTAAATTCATTTCCCACACAAATGTTCTATTTATATTTAGAAATTTAATAAAAAAATGATTATAACTTACATAAAGTTATTACACTTAGTATTACCGTATAATTTATTACCAAATTTAAAGTAAAAAATAAATTAATTTAAAAGAGATTGAAAAGCATATTTCATTCAAAAATCGAAACAAGTTAATAATTTTAAATGTAGATATATAAAATGTAAAACATGATTTCATTTATCTTTTTAGTTCATTTTTAACATCCTAGTATTTCTCTTATATCTATCAGAAAATAATATGTACAAAAAATTCATCTAAAATATTACATTTGTTACTTTTAAGATATACATATAAATTTATGGGACAGTGAATTTTAAAGATGTTACCACACTACTTTTTTTTATTCTAACATCATTAGATCAAGGACCATATTAGTAGTAGTTCAGTAGGGTGGCTGGTACTGCTGGCGCTGCAGGTGCTGCACCAGCGGGCCCTGCTGCTGCTGTTGCTGCATAGCGAGCACCTGCTGGCGCATGCGCAGCTGCGGCGTTAGCTGCTGGCCGTACTGCGCGCCCTGCTGCGGCTGCATGGTGCGTGGGTACGGCGGCGCAGGGCCGCTCATACCACCCATCGTTACGTTAGGCGCCTTTTGACAAAACAGTTATGATTATCTTTTATAAGCTGATGACCGCGCGGAATAGAAAAAAATAATTAGTTACCTGTTTCTTCTTCCAGACTATGTTTTACATTATTGTCAAATTTCATTGATATCCGTAAGGCCGTTTTGAGAAACTTAGTAAGAAACATTTATCCAAAATTTTGCTATTAGAATGGCAATACGATTAAAATCTTGGTAATGGAACATTAACAACGTTACAAAATCACAAATTCGTAAAATAAGTAAGATTTAGAAGATATGTCTTAACTTACTTGCATGTACTGCGGGCGAGCATTTTGCCTTTGTTGTGCTAGGAATGCTTCTTGACTCGCTCGCCCACTCATCATATTCTAAAATAAACAAGAGGACATTATCTATTTAACATATCATATCTTCGTATTGGAACAACTTTAATAAACATATAATATATACCTGTTGATGTTGGAATGATTGTTGTCCGAGGAATCCACCCATGGCACTGCCTCCTTGCGGTCCCATCGATGAGGTCTGACTGTTCATTTGTCCCATACCACCACCTTGTCCCATTTGCCCCATCTGGCTCATAGCCTGACCCATCTGTCCCATGCTTTGTCCCATTTGTCCCATACCCTGTGGCATCTGTCCACCTTGACCGACGCCTTGGCTCATTTGACTAACATTTTGTCCTAAAGAGTTGACACCCTGACCCATTTGGTTTACTTGCTGACTCATTTGATTGACACTTTGACCCATGCCCTATAAAAAGTGCAGTTAAAGTATTTCTGTTACTTTAAAAAGAAGTAATTTAAAACTAAAATATTTACTTGGTTCATCATTTGTTGTTGGCCACCTTGCATCATTTGCTGTCCGTATCCTCCATAACCTTGCTGCATACCACCATACTGGTTTCCGAACATCTGGCCGCCCATGCCGGGCATCTGGCCGCTGCCCATCTGCCCGCCGCCCATCTGGCTCTGGCTCATTTGCCCGCTTCCCATCTGACCGGCGCCCATTTGCCCCGGTCCCATTTGGACACCACCTATTTGTCCCATTGGACCCATATTGCCCATCGCACTCATGGGGTTCATTTGACTGCGAAAATATTCAAGTGGTTAACTAGAATTTTAGTTTGCAAAACATTTTTTAGATCATAATTTATCCTGGCCAAGACGGTAAGAAAAAACTTTTTAGAATTTGCCATCTTACCTAATAATCTTGACGGTTAGTAAAGAAAATGTAGTAAAGTGTAGCATAAAGGAAGAGAAACCACAAACAGTCCATATATGAACTTCAGCCGCTGAGATACTTAAAAATACTACGAAGCCTGTCCCACCAAATTGTCTGATAACAATTCAACGTGTAAAATATGTGACGGAAATATCGGATTTTGTTCCTTTATCTGACAGTGACGTTATTTTTAAGCTATCCGAGCCTCTATCAGCCAGTGGTTGGACAAGCCCTTATTCCTAGTTATAATTTACTCGGGGGCAATACTTCTTTTTAGGAATGTATTTTTGAAGTTTTTTTTAACATATTAACTTACTTGGGCTGCATCTGCGACATCTGATTGGGCTGCATTTGTCGCATGCCTTGCCGGGGGAAGGGCGCGCGGGCGTGCGGTGCGCCGGGGTACCCCGTATTCTGCTGTTGTTTACAAAAAATAGATTAACTATGTCAACCAACAGCAAAAAGGAACTCATTCGAGCATTTTCTGCCTAACAGAGTTATCACGGCATGGAACAAGTTCGGAGTAGTGTAGTAGCGGCTCCAACAGTCAAGGCTTTTAAAAATAAACTAGATAAACTTAAATCTCCGAGCTATACATCACACACGCATCAGCTAACTAGCTGCTAGTGTCACCCAAAATAATAATAATAATACTTATTATTATTATATAAGTATTTTACATATATAAAAGCCAGCCAAATGGAGACAAACTAATTTCACACATTTTAGGTGTTTTTGGAGGCTATGTTGATATTACCTGCATCTGCGTCATCTGGTTGAAGGGCACTCGCTGACGCAGCATGTTGCTGAGCGCCTGCTTGCACTGCGTCGTCGAGGCTTGCGTCACCGAGCGCGGACTCACACCAGCCGCTATAAAACAACATTAATTAAATCTCCGAGTGTCTTACAATACGTATTTTTAGGACTATTTAGTAGAATGTAGACATTATAGTTGATAATTTTTGTCCTAAATAAAATTTCTTATAACCTCAAGTTGGCGTTACTTTTTTTTATAGTACACACAACATATGACTTACTTAACAAATACAAAATACGTCGGTTTAAAAACACATAAATGATAACTTGACCACTAATAGGTGTTCTACATTGTTTAAAAAAAATCATTACCTACTGTGTTATTGTAATTTAAAACTACCTTGTTAGAGTCAGATAAATAATTTCATGAAAATCTAGTGACATATGTAGTTTGAAATATGTAATTTATACTATTATAATAAAGCGTAAACCCACACTTCTTTGTTGCCTTAGATGTCAGCAATTACAGCATATTTTTGAATAATTCTCTTTTTAATAAAAAGCCCCACACTTACGTCACGCTTTAGGCTATATGTTTTCACGCCATTAAACTTAGGGGGTAAATATTTTGGATAAAAACCCTAATCTGGGAATGAGACCATAAATTTCTGCCAACATCAAGGAAGCAAGACTGTCAAGGTTTTTCATGTCATGTCATTTTGACATTTGCTATTTATAATTTGACACATGGAAACAATAAAATAAAATTTTCACAGATTCATGCGGATGAAGCCGCACGGGAACGGCTAGTGTAACTATATAAATAAAAATAAAAAAGTAGCACATATATCTTTGCATACTATGTTCTACCATACCAAACTCCCAAAATCCAAGCAACCGGTTTTACGCGGTAACATCCATACATACAAAGTTTCGCATAATCTGTACCAGGTGGGTTGTAATACGTGGCTCCGGGCGGCGGGAACCACTGCTGCTGCGACTGTATGAACTGCGGCTGCTGCGCCGGCGCCGACAGCCCCACGCCGCCCACGCCCACCACACCGCCCACGTTTGTCTGTGAATCATAAAAAAATAAAATAAAAAAACTAAGTCATTTGACGAAAACATTTACATCTCATGCGATCAAGAGATGCATCTTTTTTCTCGGATTGAAATACAGACTAGCTATTGCTCGCAACTTCCTCTGCTAATTAAAAAATACATAGTAAAAAATAGCGTATTTTATTCAGTTGTTACGTAACCTTCTAATGGTGCAAAAATCGGCCCAGTGGTTTTAGAGTTATTTTAATACATACAAAAATACAAATCATTCCCCATTACAATATTAGTATAGATATTCTACTTTAGAATACTTGTTACAGCTAAAATCTATAAGAATATTGTTTACTAGCGTTCGCGAATATGAATATCTACGTACAATTGGTATATATAAATTCGATACATACGGGTGTGGCCACTTTAGGTTTTTTGGCTTTATTATTTTTGCAGGGCATTTTGCGTCCCTTGCCGGCTCCCGTTGGGCTCGAGTCCAAGCTGCCGTTGTCCTGAAAAAATAATATTAATAAATATTGGTGTATACACTTTTAAAATAAAACTACTTAAGAAGTATAAAAATATGAATGAAGCATCAGTTAGATAATTTTAGAATATACAAATTACCTGTTTATTGTCATTTGTCTCCAAATCTTCAGGCGGCAACGGAATTGATTCTAAATAATAGCTTTGTGGTTGGACGAGACTGTGTGTATGATATTTTAATAACCTGTAAAATGCAAACAAAACGTTATTTATATAATCTATTAAGTAAAAAAAAAAATATACTGCCTAACTAATAAACATGAGTGCCACCAATTCGCGTAACGAGTTTATTTTGTTATGTAAAAGCTGACCTGTGAGCATTTTCATAAGTGAGAGGTTTCCGTTCTATCTTGGTGGCCGCGAACCAGGCCCAGGAGAGGGGGGCGGGGTTTCTGCCACCCTCCACCAGCTCCCAGCTCGACACGCGCTGCTTGTCCGTCAGCCGCAGACCCTGACAACAACATATCCATAATCAGCTATATTTACTAACATGCTTTTTTATCCTGTCTTAAAAGTCATTTCATAAACTTTTAATTTTTACGTTAATACGGTTCTTTAAATATACCTGTTTCTTATCACTGTCGAAGCCAGATATTTTGTTTCCCTTTTGGTCCACTAAACAGCCTAAAGGCTCGCAAGCGATCACCTGAAACAAAAATACGTGAAATCCCTGAAGAACAAATGTACGCTTAATGTAAACTTAAATAGTATTATGAATTCAGTTTTTAATGAAACCTTAATTACGAATTTTAAATACCATAAATTTATGTTTTAGCATCAGTGGCTTGTAATCTGCAGGTACTGGATTCGAAGCCCATGCACCAATGTGTTTTTCAAATTTTACTTATATCTACCCAACGTACTTACTAAAGGAAAACAAATACAACCTTTACATATTAACGAAGAATTGAAAAGATATGTGTAACATCACGGCTTCTACTTAGGCTCTAAGCCCCTTTAGTAGTGACGTATAGAGAATTAATTATGATGAATCTAATACCTCAATGATAGTATTCTTTGAGAGGGGGAGCAGTTGTCGCACACTCTGTACGGAGGGCCCGTGCCTGTCACCTATCTCCTTCTTGAGCTTCTTCATGAGGTTCTGGTAGTGCTTCCTGTTGTTGTCGTCGCCGCCCTCCGCCAGCGTGGAATGGATTAACGTCGCCAGCATGTCGATTAATGTCGTGAACAGGTTGCTGCGGCACAGCCTGATAATACAAAACTGCACTTTACATAACTCACACCTATATTTAGTTTTATTCTATTCCATACTAATAAAAATTATTATACATCGATCAGAGCATGATTATTAAGTGTAAATCGCTATATATGTAAAATTGACGCTTATGTTTAATCACACTTAAATACGAAAGTTAAGATGGATGGATGTTTGTTAGATTTTCTAGTCTAGTCTATTAGGGATTTTGATGAAATGTATAGATGTAGAGGATAGTATGGAAGAACACATATGCTCTCTACGATTGAATATGCATTCGATGTAATTAGTACGGCTGGTTACCCTAATAATTAAGGTTATATGTGACGTGAGTGCGAAGGTGTCAACTGATAATCAGCACATTAATAGCTTAGTCCCTCCTTTTTGCCCATTGGGCCAATCCAATGGGCAAAACAATGCTAATAGGCTGATGGGTACAAAGGGTAACACATAAAATTACGTGTTATTGTAGGCGTCGATGAGTTGGTTCGCGAGCAGCTGCGTGAGCAGCAGCGCCCAGTCGGCGGTGAGCTGGTAGGAGCGGCGG